GCAAGCTGAAGCACGAGGACACCAACCTGGCCTCCACCACCATGTAAGAGCCGGGTGGGCTCCCCCCGCTGCCCGCCACGGCCGGACCCGTGCCTTCCCCCCTCTCCAACAGCTTCTTGCTGCTCAGGGTGCTCTGGGCTCCCACCAAGGGTCCCCCACACCTCCTGTGCCCACCCCATCCAGCTGGAAAATGTAGGGATTTTGTGGCACGGCCACAGACCCACCTCTCCATCTCACAGGAGTCGTAGCCTCCCAGTCCCAACCATCGTCCAAAGCCCCTGTATCCCTCTGCAGAGCTGCACCGGCTCTCGTCGCAGGAGTAAATCCCAGCTCAGGCAGCTCAAGTGGCCTCCAGGAACAGCTCTGTGGCTTCAGCCAAGTGGCCTCCCCTCTCTTTTAATGCCACGTTGTGTTGTCCTCTCCTGCTACACCCCAGTGCACCCCACACGACATGGGGCACGGACGCAGCCCCGGGAGCTGCTGCGGGGGGAGCGGATGGGGTCTGCGAGCAGCGCTGCCCACCTCACCGCTCCGCTCTGCCTTTCTCCTAGCCTGAGACCCGGCATGGACAAGGAGGTGCTGGGCATCCTGGTGTCCTACAAAGTGAAGGTCAACCTGGTGGTGTCCCGAGGAGGGTGAGGCTCTGCGGGCGTGGGGGGCAGGGACCGTCCCCTTGGGCCGTGCTGGGGGATCTTGTACCCCCGGGCAGGTGACGAAGGGATTCATGCCGTGGATCCCCTTGTCCCGCTCCCCCTGGGCCGTGGGGCAGCCGGGCGCTGGGCTGCTCTCTGGCTCCCACACCTCCATCCCCATCGCCGCTGCCCTTCACCCCCAATATCAATCATCTTATTATAAAGTGAAGTATAACGCCTCCCCTCCTCTGCCTTGGCTGACTTCTGTCCCTTCTCTCCCGCCGCCGCAGCATCCTGGGGGATCTCACTTCCAGGTAAGGAGGGAGCTGCCCGCGGGGCTAAGCACGGTGCGGTGCCGGGTGGGTTTATTGAAAGAAGTGCTTTTCCTTCCAGCGATGTCGGCGTCGAGCTGCCTCTCATCCTGATGCACCAGAAGCCTGCGGACGGTAAGTAGCACCTGGGGTGCCGCTGAAACGCAGGGGAGGAAGAGGCAGTTCCCGTTTTGAGGGGAACTGGTAAAAGCAACATCGATGCAGCTGCCTCTGCGCAAAGGGCCCTGCTCTGCCCCAGCACCCCTGGCTGCGGGATGGGCAGAGCTGCTCCGGCTGTGCGGCAGCCACCCTCTGTCCGGGACCAGCCACGGGAGCAGCTCTCCTCCCCGCGCCGCCCCAGCTGCCGCCCTTCTCCATGTCTCTCTTTCCAGAAAAACACTTGAGCATTAAGAAGAGATGTTTGTTAGTTGAAATGTCCTTTCTCTACTAACCTGCATGTGTGTCTCTCCCAATCCTTGCCTCCTGGTGCTTTGCTTATCAATGGACTGCAGATAAGCCAAGGTAAAGAGGTTTCCTTACACCTCAAGCCCGTGTTTCCTCACACCTCAAGCCCGTGTTTCCTCTAACATGGAAACCATACGGATCCATCGCAGATGGATGTGATGCCCCATTCCAGTTTGAGATTACATCCTTGGATTAAATCATCCAGGCCTCAAAGCCCTGAGCCCCTGTGTCACAGCAGACAGCATGACACGCTCCATGGCGGCACAGGCAGCAGGAGCGTTGTCACAGGCTGGGAAGATGCAAACGCTGGGCTCAGCACGTGTTCTGCACATTTCCAGGGCTTATGTTACAACTCCCCTTGCCGCAAACACAGCAGCCTCTCTTGCTGCAAGCCCAGACCTCACCTTGTCCCATGGAAGCAGCCGGCAGTGCTGCATCTCCCAGTCACCAGTGCCACCACTGGACATAACGTCCCCTTTGGGGCCTCAGTCCCCATCCACTCCGCGCTGAGGTCCCTCGGCCGCTGGAGGTGGCACCGGTCACAGCCCCGTGCCCCTGTGCGCTCCCCAGTGCCAGAGCCCTCTCCTCCTCCCACGACAGGAGCTGACTCCAGCTGAAGCCACAGCTGGGGTTGTTTCCCTCTGGGAAGCCTCAGCGTGCCAAACCCATTCCTGGCAGCCACGGCCGCCAACCAGCCCCACAGCCGGCCCTGGCTCGGAAAGCCCCGAAAGGCTGTTTTTGTGTCTGGTTACACCCTGCAACGGGACACGAGCACTGGGATTTGGAGCCTGGAAACTCGGGCTGCAACTGCAAGGCTTTCACACCAAAGCCTATCAGTTTCCCAGCTCAGCGAGGATATTTAAACTTCCAGAGGAGGAAATCTCTTGGCCTGTCCCCACCATCGCTCCCTGTAGGTTTTGCCAAGTCGTTTCACATTCGCAAGCTTTTGGAATTGGTTTTGCTGACTCTTTTTTTCCATTTTCTTCCCCTACTTTTCATTTTGTGGCTCTCCCTTGATGTCATCTGCCGCTCGCCTTTCACAAGGAGGTAACTAATCTCTTTGTCTCCACTTTAATTTCTTTTCCTTCCTTTTTTTCCCTTGACAATGCAAAATATTATCTTAAAAAAAAAGCCACAAGTTGCAGGCGAGAGCCCAGCTCCTCCGGTCACACACGCTCGCAGTCGAGCCAGCGATCTGTCCTGGCTGTGCGTCCTGCGTGTGCTCGGGTCAGGCTGTGGCTCCGTGGCTGTTCCCGGCGGCCTGTGGGACTCCGTGGCTGTTCCCGGCGGCCTGTGGGGTGCCGGGGCGAGCACCGCGCTGTCCCCTCGTAGGAGCAGGGTTTGGGTGTCAGCAGGGCTTTCTCCCTCTTTGGGACCGCGGCCTCACCACGCTCCGCTCTCCCTTCCAGCGAGGAGGACATCGTCATCGAGGATTTCGCTCGCCAAAAACTCAACGGGGAGAAAGACGATGAAGATGAGAAGGAGGAGGCTGAGAAGGAGGAAAGCTAACCTGCGCCGAGAGCCGCCGCTCCCACGCGCCCCGCTTTGGGACGTAGATGCCCGTAGCGCGTTCCCCGCTGTACCGCCCGCGGCGCGGACCCCTCGGCCCCCTGCGATGCGTACCCCTAGGCACCCCCCCCCTCCCCCGGGCTCCTCGCACCGGCTCCGGGGCCCCGCTGAGGGGGGGGGGGGCGCCCCGGGCCGCCAGGGC